CCGCCTTCCATCCGCCCCGGCCTGCGGCCTTGCGGCGGGGGACGCCGCGCCCTGGGATGGAAGGGCGGGGGGGGGGTGGTGGTTGTGGGTTTTTTTCCCGATTTTTCCCCGCATTCCTCGGCGGTACTGGAAGAGGAGGGAGGTTGGGCGCTCCTGGGTCTGAAATCCCAGGCTGCCACAGGTGATAGCTGCCATCCCCGGCCTCAGGGAAGAAGCCTGTGGGTGCTGCTGGGCAGGAGAGCTGCCAGGCTCTGCCGAGAGGACACGCTGCCCACCTCATGGTGGGCAAACCTATGTACCCCTAGACAAAACGCACACATACACACCAACACCATGTGTTGGCTTGCTAAGAAGAAAAGTGTCCCCTTCCACAAGTTGTCACAGCAGGGCAAAGCCATTTTTTCCCCCCCCTCGAACAGTCCAAACTACACCAGCTGAACAAGAAAATGAAGCTGTCCCAACAGCTCACGATGAAGCGTAACCCGACCATGGTAACACACGTGCTAATACCACCACCAAATCTCAATGCGAAACCATGTGTTTGTTCCTTCATTTGCCTCCATTTTAGGTCATGAAGCTGTCGCAACAGCTTGCAATGAAGCGTAACCCGAATATGGTAACACACGTACTAGTACCACCACCACCAAATCTCGACGCGAAACCATGTGTTTGTTCCTTCATTTGCCTCCATTTTAGGTCATGAAGCTGTCGCAACAGCTTGCAATGAAGCGTAACCCGAATATGGTAACACACGTACTAGTACCACCACCACCAAATCTCGACGCGAAACCATGTGTTTGTTCCTTCATTTGCCTCCATTTTAGATCATGAAGCTGTCCCAACAGCTCGTGATGAAGTGTAACCTGAACATGGTAACACGTGTGCCAATCCACCACCAACAAATCTCAACGCGAAACCATGTGTTTGGTCCTTCATTTGCCTCCATTTTAGGTCCTGAAATGAAACATCAAGCTAGACAAAGTTATAGGTGTTCCTTCTCGCTTCAAACCTCTTGCCTTGCAAACCGGCATCTCGGCATCGGGCTCTTCCCAGACGTCCACCGTGTGGAAATCACCCGCTACACTATGCAAACATGACCCCGATTCATTGAGGCACAAGAGCACTAAAAGAAGGATGGACAGGACACCTTTGAAGTCCCAAAATATTTTCAGCCTTTATCTCCAAATATTATTATTCCCCCCCCCGACTTTTGAAGACGGATCATTGAAAAATTAGTATTTTCATAGCTACGTATGTGTGTGAGATCCTGGTCCTGACCAAAATCAAAGCGAGATTGCCATTAACTTCAATAAAAACATTTTTATCTAAGAAATGTTGAGATACACTTGGCAAAAAGAAACTAGATTTCACAAAGAGAAGGATTTAGGTTTTTTCAATTGGTCTCTCACTGAGGTGGGAAGTGCTGGGTTGAGGAAGAGGAACTGGTACTGTCTACTCTAAGCGCACATCACAGGAAGGTGAAAAGGGCAGGATCCAGAAAAGAAACAGGTACTGCTCCACCTGTGGTTGGGTACGTGGAGCTTTCAGGAGACTGTTGAATTCAAGTGCCAGAAACGCATTTTTATGGTACTGCTTGATCTAGACTCTGGAAGCTGTTTTATCTTCCTTCCTATGTAGGCGGGGGGGGTGGGGGGAGAGCAGACACACTACAGATAAAAGTTGACAGGATCTGCCAGGCCGAAATATACATTTCTAAGCATTACTGAACTGCATTTTTTAGGACAGGGTGCTTTATCCTATTGACATTTTCCTGTCTGCAGGGGCAAAAACCACCCGAGGTTTGGAAGGACAATTCAGAGTGACTGCTGTTTTTGGAGGCTGTCAGACACGGAATACACGACGAATGGTTTTCGTGAAGAACAGTCACATTTGCTCTCTGCTGCAGCCCTAAGAGGGCTCAAAAGTGAACAGGCTTGGCTAGAAATCACTAACTGGGTCTGGATTTTCATAGTTCCTTATTGTCAGAAGCCACAATTTATGATGCACAAAATGTGCGTAGCCATATTTATTTCCTATGTAAATACCTCAGTTTGGGATCTAGGCCCCAAATCTGGCTAGTGTCAGTCAGGCAGCTAAATCTGCCTGGTTTCTTCCCCTCCTCTCTCAGCAGTTTTTTTCCTGCATGTACTAACGTTGGGATTTTTGATGCAGTTTTGTTCCCAGCTTTGAAAAGGCTCAGTGCCAATAAATAGGATTTGACAGGATCCTGGTATATCCTGCTTTTACCTTTCTCCAAAAGAGGGAAAGTGTTTCTCATTTCCTCTCTCCCCCTTGAAAAACCTCATGACCCTTTTGGGTCTCTTCCTCCTGAGAAAAGATCACACAGTTCAAGAATGACACGCGCAAGCAACCTGTGCCCAGAAAGAACTTTTGGCTGTAATTATATTCCCAACCCTCCCTTTGCTTTTCCCAAATACAGCACTTACCCTGACACAGTTGAAACTACAAAATCCTAGAAGCAATAATAAACACAAGAGAAGCTTTCACCCCTTTTGGAAACAGCATTATTTTTTTTTCCCCCAGAGAGAAATTACAGCTATCACATGAATATATGTCTCCTCTGTACCTAAACTGTGAGCTTAATCCAAATACCTGCCTCTATAAAAGGTCTCGGCAATGCTGCTTTACCAAACCAGCTTCTAGTACAAATTGTCCATATGAATAAAAATAAAGTCCTGGGCAAAGGAAAGGAGATTCTTTCTGCTCTTCCCCTCTCTTCCCAGGCAACCAACATGGAATCCTCCTCAAGTTCCTGATCCTGCTGAAAATAAGGTATTTCACATTGCTTCTGCTCCATCAGATCAGGCAACTTCTGTATACATACATATATTTATATATGCACATATATAAATATAAATACACACTGAGTGGGTATGTGTGTGCAAAAAAAAGATGCATCTCCTGCTTTGTGCTCAAACTTGGTGTTTTCCCATTGTGAAACCAGGCAATACAGCATAGGCCCTCCTGGAGGGAAACCAGAGACAACTTTATTTCCTGCTTCCCGTTGCCAGTTCCCACCTCAGGCTGCGTTTGTTTGCGAGCTTCAGGCTGAATGTTGGGGACCTCAAGCCATTTTCGTGAGGCCATGTTTGCATTCCTGAATGGGAGAGAATTGACAGCCCAGCCAAAGCTAAGTTCAAGGAAACAGCCATACACGGTGGCCACCCCTGCCACAAGTCACACTCTTATTTCTCATGCCCGTTCTGTTTGGGCTAAAGAGGGACCAAAACCCAGTGAGAATTAATGGGGAGCTCCGACAGGTGCAGCTCATGAGACCTGGTTGCTCCTTGCCTCTCTAATCCAGAACAGGACCGATACATGGCTTTTTCTTGAAAACATTAGGTAGAGAAAGCTTCTCTACAGAAACCTTGCAGACCCTTTGCAGATCCATTTTCTCTTTACACAGCCTCTACCGAGGCTTTGGTTCTCTTTCTGAAAAAAAAGAGCAAATGGAAAGACAGATGTAAACAAAACCTTAGGGGGGGAGCTAACAACTGGAAAAAGAGATTCTTCTTCCTGCTTGCCACTTTTCCTGCCTCAGCTTTCACAGGGGTCTCTGAACTCTCTGCTGTCACCATCCTCAAGTATGAGCATTGCTCGAGGTGGGTACGCTGTGGTGACCTGACCTGCTTCTCCTCATTGACTTCTCTTTTTCATGTAGCCCATCACTGCACATCAGGATAAGTAATTCACTAGTACCCTTGTTTTTTACCCCACCTCACTGCCAAACTATAGTTTGAAAAGAGAAAAATAAATCGGCATTTGCATAGGTATTCAAGAAAAATAATTCTTTCTCTCTGGTAATAAATTTTTGGTAAGTTTGTCTCCCTGCAGATGTCGAATATTAACACAAAAGTATACACTCTCTGGAAGGCTACATTTGGATTTTTATAAGAAACATGAACCAGGTACCAAAAAAATTACAACTCTGATTGTATTAAAAATACTGACTAAGGGTCTAGAAAATGCAGCAC